TCCACTACACAGATGAGGGTACTGGGGCACAGAGAGGTCGAGTTACTTGCCCAAGACCACATAGCTCACAAGTGTCAAGTCTGGGATTTAAATTCAAATAGTCTGGCTCTAGAATCCATGACCTAGTGTACCCTCCCCAGCTTTCTTTGAAGGACACAGCAGTATTGGACTGAGGGCCCAGCTTCTGAGATGCTTATTTATTTATTTACCTTCAGATATAGCCCTACCACCTGGGCAGACATCTCCCCCTTGCTAAGGATCCCAGCTACAGGGACGGAACCTACACCTTCCCTCATCCTTCCCCCTAAGTTATTATCTCTCTCACTTCCTGTGTTGAGCACACTCACCTCCAGTTGTCGCCCACCTACCATCGGTAGTTTATATGAAGTTAAAGTGTAAAAACACCCAACCACATACAAAAACTTTATTATGCCTCTCTATACAAATGGTACCCACATACCTGCAGCTCACTCAAGTAGTAAACGATGATTACATTTCCTTTCCTAAGCAACTCTTTGTTTTGTGTGCAGTTAATAGCTGCACCTGCTTAATTTTCTATGGACTCTTTGCCAATTACTCAGGCTCTTCATTAGTTTTTAAATCATTTAAAATATTCAGACACATAAGGTAGTCTGTCAGTTTTACCTTCCGCCCCAAAAGTCTTTCTCCGAGCTTCATGACCTGCTGTGGAATATCCCAGTTTCCTTCTCTGCTTCTTGTTCAGCTGTTTTCCTAGGATCCCCTTTCACCACCATTGACCTGGGGAGCTCCTTTCCTCTCTTCTATATTGGATCTCCTGTTTTCTGTAAATGGGTCTTCCTCTTTCTTGGTTGATTTCCTCATTTTAGTGGAGTGTATCTTTTAGTAGCTTTCTGAGAAAGGTTCATCTAAGATACATTTTTTTTTTAGACTTTGCATGTCTGGTGATACCTTTATTCAGCCCTCACACTTGGTTTGTTTGGCTGGGTATCAAATTCTAGTTTTAAATAACTTGCCTTCAAATTTCTGGTGACATAGCTCCATTGCCTTTCAGTGCCTGGCACATAGTAGGACCTTTACGAATACTTGCTGAACTATTACTAGGGTGTACCGGTAATAGTTGGAGCCACAACATAGCACATCTTCCTGCATCGTAAAACTGACATTTTCACTTGACATTTTGTAAAAATTTTTTAAATAAAATATTGCAAATTTTAAGTTATTTCAAATGTTATTTTATACAAAAGAGATAGAAGATGTGGAAGCAGAATGCAAAGTTCACATGAATTTATAAAATTCAATATATGTCAAGGAAATGGTGCTACAGTTGCCCTGGGCTTGGCCCCTTCTTTCTCTGCCCCCACTTCCTCCATCTCTAGATCCCCTCACCCTCGCTTGCTGTCAGGGTGGAAATATTTAGATTCTAGGAAGAGCTGGGGTTAGGGAAGGAGGGGCAGGAGCTTGAAGAAAAGGATGTTTGGCCAAGCTGCTGAGGGGAGTGGGTGAAGAGGTGACTAGCAGAGTTGTTTCGGGGCCAGCACTGCGGCAGGAATCTGTGGCATCCCCGTTCCTCAGCTTCTCTGTTCCCTAGTGGTGCCCTGACCTGGGATCCAGGGCAGAGAGAGCCTCTGTGCCAGTCTCTCAGCCCTGGGGATTAGCAGTGCCAACCAGTGAAGTTCAAGGAGGTGAGGAGTCCTTTCAAGGCCAACGGCAGTCAGGCCAGAGTGAGGGGGCAAAGTTTAACCCAAAGAAATCATTTACTCTCTCTGGAATGTCAGATAGTACCCCAGAGATTGTTTTCCAGGTGGGGGGGGCTGGGTGGTGGTAGGTGGGAAGAACCTTTGCAGGACCCCTCATTTCTCACTACAAGAATGAACTCCCATTCTCCTACTCCAAAAGCCCACATGGCTTGCATTTTTATCTCAGTTGAAAGAGCTCACTCAGTCTGAGAATCACTTCCGTGTCTGGTTCCTGCGGAAGATGTGGCAAGTAAAGATTTGTCGCCGGTCCCCACCCCTACCCCCCCAGCTTAGAGGAAGGGAAACAATGTGCTCTCAATGCTAAGTGGTATTCACGTCTGCTGAGGAAAGCTGGCACCTCTGCCCCGCATAGTTACTGCATTCCTAAAAAGTGCAGAAGTCAATACTTGGTGAGTAGAAACCTGGCTTTCAAACTGAAAAAGTATCCTGACATAAATACCACCTCAGAGCCAATTTATCTGATCTGATTGATCTTCAGCTGCCAGCTGTCTATCTTGAAGTTTCTCCATTCTTCAGTCTTCCTATAAAGAAAAGAGGCAAAATAGTCTATAAGGAGGATCCCTGGATTCTATTTCTGGCTGTGCCACAAACTAGCTGGGTATGCTTGGATAAGTTGCTTAACTATTCTAGGTCTTAATTTTCTGCAAAATGAAATGATAAGACTGTATGATCTTGAAGGTGATGTATTAATAAAGACTCACTGTTACAAGTGAGAAAAAAATCAACTAATACTCACAAGCAAATCTGGAAGTGTTTTTGATTGTGTTACTGAATAGTCCAGGGGAAGTTCTCGCTTCAGGCTGAGTTTGATCTAGAAATTTAAACGATGCTAGAAATCTCCATCTTTTGAAACCTCTTTTTCTGTCTTGGCTTCATGCTCAGGGAAACTCTCTTACCTCAACCTATTGGCTTAACAATGTTAGCACACAGTGCATCTCAGCCAAAAGTTTTAGCAGAAGTCAAGGTATGGAGACTCATAGGCTCTGCTAACGTCATGAGCTAATTTCAGAGAAAGAAGATCTGGTGTTCTGATTAGCTAGTAGGCCTGGGTCACATGCCCATTGACGGGGGAGTGAGAGAGGAGTGATTCTCAAAAGTAAATCCCTGAACTGCTAGGCAGGTAAGAATAACAGATAATGACCACAGGTGGTATAATATAAAACAAATATATGGGCTTGAGTTCAGGCTCTGTCACTAACTACCTAGGTGATCTTGAGTAAATTACCTTGGTTTTCTCATCTAAAAAATAGGATGAGTCTGTATCATACAGGGTTAAAAGGGATAAAATATAAAAGGTGCCTCACAGTAGAAGTGAAACACATGTTCAGCCTAGGATGCTATGATTTTAAGTTAATGATTCTAAACACTTTGATACAGGAGCAGCTCTTTAAAGAATAACTTCCCTTGTGCAATCTCCTACAAATTGAGGGCTCCTAATTCTCACCTGGAAAAAAATCCAGATTTCACATATAAAAAACTTTGACAACTCAGTTATGGCGATTTCTGTTTAATTTTCTTGTTAACTCAAGATTAATTTAGCTAAAAGATTCTTTTGGTTACAACCCTTGGCACTTGATAATTACCTTAAATTGTCTGAATCCATTCTCTTGCTCTAAGTTCATTCTACTGAATAAATTGGGTTTGCTTTTTGATAGTAGAGGATCTTAGAACACTCTAAGACTCCACAGGTCAAAAAGTTTGTGCCAGCTGTCTGTCCTTGGATTAGCCTGCCTCCCGTTCTTGGAGGTGCACTTTCCCTTTGCTAATAAATCCTTTAAAAATCTTTTGCTACCAAAAAAAAAAAAAGTTTGTGCCAAGAGATCTCACAGCAAAGCTTCCTTCCAAAATCCAGCATTGCATTATAAATCAGGACACCACTGCAGCCAAGAAAAATGACTCAAAGTAACCACACTCATCAAAAACTGATGCTATGATTTGCATAGCAATTTATTAATTTTTGATCAGGATAGTGTTTGGCGATTATAAAATATCAATGTCTCCCATCCAGGAAAGCCCCTCCCCTGTGCCAGAAGACAAAGAATTCATCAACCAGTAGCTTGGTAGGCATGGACTCAGTCTTGAGGACCACTTCACTGGGCCATGGTGAGGTCTGACAGAGCAACACCAGTGTGATTCAACTCATTGTACCAGACGTGGCATATGCCATCCTCTGCATTTCTGAGCTGCTCTTTTCTAGGCTCTCAGTTGACCATGCCTCTGATTCTCATCACCTATATCTGTTTCACAGCACCTATAACTGGTCCAGTTGATGTGATGTCCACTTCCTCAACCATAATCACAATCCGGTCCTGCCTTTCTGAAGTTTCACTGGGTCCCTGTGATGGAAATTTCTATATGATCCCAACTTCTTCAAGTGTCCACTTATGTCCTACCCCGACAGGTACCTAATCACTACCTGAATGGTTTTTACTAGTTAACCCATAGAAATAGCCATATTTCCCTAATGGTCAAGTTCTTGGGCACCCTTCATACATACTACCAAGTTTTCCCAAGAGGGGAACTCACTCAGACCACGAATTCATAGCACAAGTAAGTTTGTAGGGCTTAGAATGAACCAACGTTGACAACAACACACAATTTGGGAACAGATTCCTCCCATCAGTTTGTCACATCTTTTTTTTTTTTTTTGAACGCTCAAGACAGTATTCTTGTTAACCAATGCATTTGGTTAAAATAGCAAATTGAGATTTGAAGATACTACTTCTATTAAAGACAAACTCTCAGACAGCATTCTGCTTTGTTTCTCTACTTAGCTTCTATACCATTGCCTCTCCAGTTTTAGACTGATTACATTTAAACCCTCTTCTTATTTTCTGCCTGTGTTTCACTTCCAACTGTCACAGTTTCTCTTCATTCTTTCTTTTTTTAATTTTTAAAAATTGGTTTGTCCATCCATTCTATTTTTTAAATTTTTATTTATTATTTTTCATCTTTTTTGGGGGGGATGTAATTAGGTTCTTCATTTTTTTTTAATGGAGGTTCTGGGGGTTGAACCCAGGACCTCAGGCATCCTAGGCATGGACTCTACCACTGAGCTATACCCTTGCCCCCTCTCCTCATTCTTTATTTTTTAAAATTTTACTTTAATTTATTTTTATTGGTGGGGGAAGGTAATTAGGTTTACTTATTTATTTACTTTTAAAGGAGGTCCTAGGGATTGAACCCAGGACTTTTTGTATGCTTAGCATGTGCTCTATCACTTGAGCTATACCCTCCCTGCTCCTCATTCTTTTTTCCTCATTTTTCCTGCTTAGTGTCTTGGTTTTAACGACTCTCTGATGGGGATATCCCACAATGCCTCTCTCTCATTCCCCCCCAGCTCTATGGCGGTTTGTCCTCTCTCCATCTCTGTGTTCCTGTCTTCTCCCTGTTCCTTCCTCTGGATGTTGATTTCATCGTTCTGCCCTTCCCCCTGCCCCTTTGTTTCTCTCTGTGATTCTCTTCAGTCCCTTATTCTTCTGTGTCAATTCACATCCCTGATTCTTACTTCTCCTCATCTTTCTACCAGTCTCTGACTCTCAGTTCCTGTCAGCCCCTGTCTCTGTGTTTTGCACTGAGACCGTTTGTCCTTTGTCTTTCTGCCTCCAACTCAACATATTGCCTGCTTCTTCTGTCAATGAATCTTTCTATTGACTGCCTCCTCCACCTTCTGTCCTTCTGCTTCTCAGCTCCCCTGACTAATCCCCCTTGTCTCTATTTCCCCTCTCTCTCCTCTGGTCTGCTAATCTATCAGCCACTATTACCTCTGTCTCTCTCTCAAGTCTGGTGGTTTCTCCTAGTCATTCACTCACACGCTTCCACTGTCTAGACTGTCTGTACCTGTCACCTTTGGAGTCCCTTCCTGTCAGCCTCTATTTCTATTTTTCTTGTCCTCCATGTTTATGACCATTTAGCCAATTCTAGACGATTTTTGTTCTTCTCAGTGTTGATAACAGATTTTCCTGATATTTCTGCCCAGGATTCTGTCTTGCCCTCCATCTTTCTTCATCTATGTCTCTTCTATGCAACAAATCTTTCTTTTTATCTGTCCTTCAACCTATATGTCTGCATCTCTCATTCCTTTTGTCTTTCTCTAGCTCAGCTTTTTTAAAATTTTATCTTTTTTTATTTTTAATTTTTGTTGGGAGGAGGTTTATTTATTTATTTTTTACTTAACGGAGATACTGGGGATTGAACCCAGGACCTCATGCATGCTAGGCATGCACTCTACCACTGAACTATACCCTCCTCCCCCTCTAGCTCAGCTTTTTGACAGGATTTTTTGCTTTCATCTTCCTGTCTTTTGCTTTTGCTCAGGTATCTTTTCTGTGGATGATTAAAGGTTACTGATTTCTGTCCATTGTTTAATAGAATAGCAGCCTTAATCTGTTTACACTTCCCATAATCTGGAAGTTCTGCCTGAAGAAGGAAGGGGTCTTGTGTGACACACACACACACACACACACACAAACAATAGAAGCAGCAGAGGAGAAAGGGGAACTTGCGATAAATCCCAGAAGAGAGTCAAATATTCCTTAATTCCTCTGCAGCCAAGTGGAAGCCTTTCTTCATCTCCTTCTGCCTCTACCTTCATTCTTCCATTAATGTCTGGGTCTGGGAAGACCCTACTCCAGGCACCCAGATTGGGTGGTTGAGTTCCTGCTATGGCTCTGGACTTCATTACAGTTCTGAGAAAACAGACCTAGCCCTGTGCTCATTCCTCTAAGAATCTGTATTTCCTTTGAAAACATCAGAAGACACTAAAAATGTTTAAAGGGAAGATGTTGCACACAGTAGGACTAGGGTTAAGTACAAACAGAATAGTATGGCTTTGAGAACCAAAAATATCACCAGCAATTGTTGTGGTCCGATTTCCTCTGTCTCTCGGCAACTGTTATGTCCATCCCTACTAGCTATACATAGAACCTGCTGTGTCCTCTGCCAACTGCCAAAATTTGGTTATAGGTGAGGTCGCTCTTCCCTCTGGTCCCACCCCTTCCTTACCAGAGCTCTCTGATCCTAGTGACTTCATCTTTCCTCATCTGTTCCTGTGCTAAAGCAAAGAGTTTCTGTTCCCACTGGCAGTTTCATCAGCTTCCTGCCTCCTACCACCCTTTATTGGTAGCACAGGCTTTACCTCTTAAGTTAGTGTGCTGGAAAGGGCAGTCATCTGGTGATGGGATTCTGTTAACAATAGCAAGTTCCCAAATAACAAGTTCCCAACCATCCATGAATATTAGTTCTTCTCAGATCCTAGGAATGGGGGAGGGACTGAGTTACCTGGAAGAGGAACTGAGATAACTGAAGATCTGGCCCAGTTCTTACCCCTGGGAGACTGTGCACTGAAGACAACCATCTCCTGTCCTGGTCCTACCTCCCCCAGGGCTGGCAGAAGAGGAGCCTGAGGCTCCTCTTCAGTCTCTCAGGCTGAGAGTGGAATCAACCCTGGTGACAGGCTCACCATCACAACATGTCCTGGTGCCTCTGGTTTCCTTGTGTCCAGGGATGGGTGGGTGGGGCCGAGATCTCAGGACATCACTGACTAGGATGCGGACACCCAGTGTGATGCTCATGGCACCCACAGTCACCAGTCCAGTTCCACCAAGGATGACCAGAGCAAGAGGCACCTGGCGGTGTTGCCGGATTAGCCACAGACTCATCCACCCCAGTGGTACCAGGCGGAAGACAGCTAGGGTAGCCAGAGTGGCCCAGCTAGTCACGCTGAAGGCCAGGGATGGGGCCTGGTGAGAAAGCAGCAGCAGCTTTCGTAGGTGCAGGCAGGTGGAGTTCAGCTCCAGGAGCAAAGACACCACAGAGAAGCCCACGTAGTGGCCAGACAGAATGGCAGTGCTGAGGCAGCTCACTACCTGGAGAGCCGAGGTCAGAGGTCAGAGGACCTTCCATGACTTACCTTCCATCATGTCCCAATATCCCAGTCCTTGAGAGGGGGCTCCTAAAGATTTTGTGGGCCCCCCAAACCCAACCTTCAGGCTTACCCTCAATAGTAGGGGCCTTGAAACAATCCTTCCATAGAACTGAAACCACTTTGTCCAGGAGGCTTTCTGCCCTGGAGCTGCAGCAACTGTGTGGAACCCCCTCGAACTTCTATTCCTGTGTTTTCACTCCCCATCCCCAGTCCCTATACTGGGGTTCCACCTCTCGAAAAGCTCCATAGTCAACGTTTCTGCAATCGATTGGACAACTGTGGGAATCCAATCTCTTTAGGCAGTGTTCAGACTCCCAGCTGTGGCCAGCAGTCAGTCCTCTCCCCCCAAATTCAGCCCAAGGTTGGGAAGACGATGCACCAGCTAGGGTCAGAAACTCTCTGGGAAGTCATAGGACAGAAAACTGATGAGAGATTGGGGACCCCAGGCTGGGGATGCCTCCTTTCCTGTCTTGCCTCTCCCCAAGTCTCACCACCAAATGGTGACAGAGAAGTTCCCAGGCCTGACCCAATGTCTGGTTCCACAGCATGTCTGCTCCATCAGCCAGGAAATAACCTGTGGGCAAGGCGGGGAGGGTGGTGTTAGACTTTGCCCAAGCCAGTTTACAGTCTGGAGAGGAATCTCCATCTCCTTTCCCTAGCTCTCTTGTTTCCCTCAGTAAGGCTGTCAGAAACATTTAACCCCTGCAGGGAGCGGAAGGAGAAGGAGACCTGGAATTACCATTGTAAGGTTACCCCTCACCCCAAACCGGTCCTTCAGACTCACCCACAGATACAGCCACCAGCGCCAGGGCCCAGGGTGGGTGGCCATGAATTGGGTCCGCGGCCATCTGAGGGTACAGTGACAGCCTGGAGGAGACGAGGGAGCCACCGTCAGCGTCTGAGCAGACCCGGATTCCGTTCTTCCGCTGTGGACTGATCCACACCGCCCACCTATGAACATCCACACTCCAGTCTCAAGACTCTTAAGGTCTCACATTGATTGTAAAGGTGCCCGCCGGGTGTTCTAACCTCAGCCTTCCACTCCACTCCCTCATCCTCACCATGGTGCCCCCAAACCTTTATCTAAATCCCGCACCCGAGCAGCGCCCCGGCCCCCGTCAGCAGGCTGTGCACCAGGGAGACACAGATGTTCCGCCACTTCCAACGGTCCTGGGCAGCAGATCCCGGCGTGGGCAGCAACTGTAGCCCCCAGTGCAGCCCCCGGAAGGCGGCGAAGGAGGCGCCGGTCACGAGGAGCCCGGAGGGCTCCATGGCCTGGCGGGAGGGCTAGGTCCCGATGGGTCCCTGGGGCCCCTGAGCTCTCAGCCAACGCCCCCTGCGGGGACTGTGAACGGGCTTCCGGCCAAGGCTGGGTCCCTGGGCTCCCCCGCCCGCCGCGCCTTTGGAATCGGCTTTAACTTTTCCAGGGCTCGTCCACGCCCCCAACCCTCGGCTGGGCGGTGATTGGAGCAGCGGTGGGGCCACCGCCCCTGGAGCCACAGCAACCGATCGCGACCCGCCCTAGCGGGGGATGGCGGGTAGGGGGCTCCCGGGGATCAAGACTACAGCGGAGCTCATGGGGGCTTTCTGGGATGTCGATAGGGGTCTTCCCCAACCCCTTGTGTCCCGAACTTCTCGCAAATCCAGAAATGGGTCGCTAATCTCAGCTGACACTCCCAGAGTCCCAGCCCCATTAACTTTCACCGCTTCTGCCTGCTCTAACCTCTCACCTGCTGGTCCTCCTACCCACCCTATCTACCCACGCAGCCCTGAACTTAAGAGGCCAGAGCAAACCCATACCCAATTGCTTAAACCTCCCGGCCGCTCTGCTCCGCACCCCACCCTCGTCTCAGGAGGAGGAGCACTTCGCTTCCTTGAAGCTACCGCTTCCCGAAGTTTCCAGACCTTTAACACATCCTGGCAACCCTGTAACTCCAGGAGTCCTGTCCTTTCACTTAGTAACTCTCATAGGGAACAACAGCTCCCATTTTGGAGAAGAGATCCACTGGGAATTCCTCCCCTAACCTCTTTCGGGGGCCCTACAGAGGAGCCTTATTATTAGGAAGGGGAGGCAAAAGGGAACCACTCAGTCCTATAGTCTTCAAAAGCACCTCTCCCCCAGGGCTTGGTACCTGTGTGTGGGGATGAGACTATCTCTAGCAATCTGGGAGGCAAGGAAGGTCACACAGGGTCACCTCAAGATTGGGGCAGAAGCAAAGAGAAAAACAAAGACTCATCTTGCTTTCAGCAACAGCACTGTTAGGATTCTAGAATCTTTCATCCTTGGAGGAGGAAGATTTTCCTCTCCCGAAGAGTAACAGGTTTTCAGTGTTTTCCTTCTGTCTTTCTCCACTCCACACCTTTTAGTTGGCTGTCGCCAATTCAGAGAGGAGCTGTTGCCTGTACAGGAGAGGGTGAATTCCAGCTACTCCCAAAGAATGAAATTCATAAACCAATACATCTCTTTCAAACATCTCACAACCCCCTTCCTCCACCAAAACCCCATTAAGTCCATGGGGCTGGCGGTATCCCTGTGTTCTTCCACATCCACCTCTCCAAAAGTTTTAAAAATAACACTGATTCTTTTAAATTTTATTTTATTATATGACAGCCATACACAATTACTGTAGAAAATTTGGCAGTTACAGAGAAACCAAAGAGGAAAATTACAGTGACTTTATTCCACCCTCCAAAGATAACCACTGTTATTAACAATTTGGAGTACATCCTCAGTTTTTTCTTTAAACTGCTTTATGTATACAAGTATACATCCATATTTTAAAAAAAACAAAACTGAGATTACAGAATACACACCATTTTTATAACCTTTTTAATATTCAAAGAGCATTTTTCTTTCCAGTCAAATGTTCTTCTGTGACTTTAAATGGCTGTGCAGTACTCTACCATCTGGATGGATATACAATAACTTATTTAAGCAATCCCCTCTTGCAAATTTTCATTGCAGCAGCAAAGAAATGAATTCCCAACCAGATAGTTGCTTCCCATTTTTCTCAACTGCAATGCTGGGATGAACATCTTATAACTAATCTTTAATTATTTCCTTAGGATAAATTCCCAAATGTAGAATGACAGGTCAAAGGCCATGAAACTTTTAAGATGTTTGATACATATTACCAAACTGACATCAGTAAGGCTGTATCAGTTTGTATCCCCATATGCAATGTATGGGAGTGTTATTTTAGTACTTCTTTTGCCAATAACTGGGTCTTATTTTTTGTTATAGTTTGCTACCAGAAAAATGCTTTCAGCTATATTTGCCTCTGTAATTACTAATGAAGCATACATTTTTCCCCCAGGGTTTTATCCATTTGAATTTCTTTTCTGAATTTTCTGTGTATGTCCTTTCACAGCTGGTTCTTGCTCCTGGAAGGTACTTATATAAAAATTACAGAGTGGGGGAGAGGTGGAAGCAGGAGAATGAAGCCAAGGACACTTTAATACAGTCTCACATCTCAGGGAGGCAGAAAGACTGGAGACAAATGGAGAATGAAGTAGATGGCTGGAAGCTTGTCCTTGATGGAGGCTGGCTGTCCTGGGATGGTCCTGGCCTTTATGAGCCCTCTCTCAGGATGCCCAGACAGGACCCTGTGTTCTCCAGAACTGGTCCTTCACTGGTCTTCTGCCTGCCTCTGTGTTCCCAGGCTGCTCTTCCTCATTTCTGCTCCATGATGGGTGAGGATGGCAGAGCCACATACCCAAAGCTGGAGGGATACACTGTCGCCAGCAAAGCGAGGAGGGGAAGAAAGGAGGGAAGCAATGTCCGGGGACAGAGTGATCTTTGTTGCAGCCGATGAGTAGACTCAGTCTACCCACCTCCCTCTACCGCAGTCCCACTCACATCCAGCTTAGGCTGCAGAAGGGTGGATTCAATGATCTACTCCCTCCTAAATCTGTTTCTCATAAATGGAGAATAGGACCCAGCTCCCTGTACGACTCCTGTCCCCAAACAGAACAAACAGCTCCCTATAACCCCTGAACTCGGTCGCCTTCAGGCAGGGAGCCTTGGCCAAGGCTAAACCACATCAGAGCCTGAGCATGAGAAGGAGATTATATCAGGAGTCATGGGTGGCAAGTTTACAATGCCTGATTCCCCCAAATGGGTCACATCCTATTACCCATCTCTCCTGGCTGCTGGAGGGGAGAATTTCCTGCCTGCACAGGCTTGAGCTGAGTCTCACACACTATCCAAGAAAGTAAAGTGAAGGAAGAGAGCAGAGGCAGCTAGAACCACATCAGGGGCTGCAGTCCTGCTTTGGGAGGCAGGGGAAGCCTGGGCCACCTTCACATGGTAGGCAGTCAATGCAGAGAATGAGCTGCCACCAACATCTTGCATTGGTCTAGCCCTAGCCCCTCCCTCAACTCCCTCCACACCCTACCCCCCTGTTCCTGGGGATCTATACAGGGATGGGGGAAGGGCAATAGCTTAAGACGTGAAAAGCTGTTTTGTTCCCACCCACAGGGAGAGTAGAGTCCAGGCTCTGAGTCTGCACAAGGGCTTCTGATTTCCTCATGCATGCTCAACTGTGTGATTCCCCACCTCACAGGTGGAGAAGCTGAGACAGGAGGTCTAAGGGTCTCCCACAGATGTGAGTATCCCTGAATCTAGAGTCTGGGCCAGACCAAGGAAACACAGAAAAAGTAAGAGCAGGGGCAGGGGACCACTCAGATGGGTGTCTCAGTATGACCTTTGCCCTGAAGAGGAAACTTCCTTTTGGATTTCACCCAGAAAGACCTGTAGAAAAAAATGGGGGACGAGGAAGGAAGGAGGGTCAAGAAAGACATCTGGTAAAGGGGTAGACAGGGTTTTCTTGGCTCCACTTTCTCCCACTGTCACACAAAGACCAACTAACCCTGGGCAGTCAGAGCCATCTATTCCCCAGTTCAGCCAGAGTCTCTAATCTGAAATTTTCTCTCTTGCTGGGTCAATCTGGGTGAAGGTTCTCCAACTGAATAGGGTTCCCTTTCCCAAAAGATATCAACACTCTCGCTGTTCAGACCTTCCCAGCCCCAGTTCTGTCACCTTCCAGGTGAGGGGGAAAGCAGCTCCTTCTCCTCTTCCTCCTCCTCCTCCTCGAAGCCAGGGGCAGAGGGCAACAGTTCTTCAACTGGCAGCTTTAGCTGGGTCAGGACATAAAGCTTGCCACTGAAGAACTACTGCGGCTCAGCCAGGTGAGGATGTGGGAGGTACAGCTTCCTAAAGGGAAAGGAAAGAAAAATGGGAAAGATCTGAGCAGGGCCATGTCACAGGGACACTGTCCCAATGGCATCAAAGTCCAGTCCCGGCAGATGTTCAACCTTCTAATAAGGGTTCTTGGCTCTGACCTGGCCCTTCAGTAGAGACAAGAGATAGCTCTAAACCTACTTCCTTGCTCCTCTTTCCAGAACTGAAGGCTATAGAAACCCAGATCTGCTCTCACTCCCTCCCCTGGCCCCAGCTACTCACAGAGGCCCCCAGCCTCCTCAGCACTGAGAGAGGGCAGGACCTGGGACCCTGGACACACCCCACCAGTCATCCAGGTATTAGGTAAGAAGTTGTACCTCTGGTCCAGAAAAGTAAGTTCGGGGATCAGCCCAACTGACTTGTTCCCAGGGAGTTCAGCTGGAAGGGTTTTGGGGGCCTACATCTGGGGAAGAGTAAGGAAGGGAGGAGGTCTAGAGTTTGGAAGAAGGTCAGCAGAGGCTCCTGGGACTGTGAGGAGAAGACAGGGGACCAGAGGCTGGAGGGGAGGGAGGTACAGGCAGGGTGGTTGGGCAGCTTCCCCAGGACTCTCAAATGCCAGGCATTCCGCTTGCGCATTCCGGGTACATCTGGTATGAATTCCAGGCTGTCTGCCGGCCCCTCCATGTCTGAACTTTGTTCCAAGTTCCAAGCCCCGCCCCCACAGTTTCAACGCATGAATCAGCAGGAAAAGCCGGGCCCTGCAGCATGGCCCAGGGAGGGGGCTGGGGGCGTGGCAGGCTTGAGGGCTGTGAGCTGGGGAGGGTGGGTCTGTGCTGAGGCTCAGTCCAAGGGCATGGCCCACAAGAGTGTAAGGGGCCAAAGTGGTCTTGCTTTGAGATTTCTATACAAAGAGGGTAAGAAAGATTAGGGTGGGAGGTTTTCAAATTACAAAACCCTCTTGGGAAGCATGAACTTTGTGGTATCTTCCTTCTCCCAGGTGACCAGTCCAACTCCTTCCCACTCCTCTGTCTGAGCAGGCTCTTTTCAACTCAAAGGACTCAGCTGCTGCTGAGAGTCTGTGCCAAGCAGGTGCCCTTGGCTGCAGGGCGGGGTGGGCCCAGGGCACTGACCCTCTGACCAGCTGCTCCATCAACCCCTTGGCACCCTGACAACTCCTAGCTCAGTCTGACAGTCAGGATGACAGGCCAAATGAGTTGGAGGCTGGAACTAGGGCCGGAGGGAGGTGGGGGCGATAGCCTAGCCAGAGGCCACGGGGAGGGGCCAAGAGTTGGCCGGGAGGTGGGGAGAGAGGGAGCCCAGTGATGACTAACCCAGGCGCCCCACCCAGCCAGCCGGCTTCCCAGGCGGTCAGGGCCAGGCCTGGGCTAGGGGCCCCACAACCGGACAGGCTGGGGGGAGGTGCAGAGGTGACCTTCTCTCGGCCCAAAACGACCAGTTAGGCTGGGGAGGGGGGGCGGTTAGAGTTTCCAGACTCTCCTCCTGCCCGCTCCCCACACCAACCGCGGTGAAACCCTAACCTTTGGGTTGCATAAGGCGCCGGCACCGCCGCCCCCTACTCCTCTCCCCTCCCCCCTTACATAACATCCCCTGGAGGGAACGAGAGGAGGGGCCGGCCCGCCCAGAGACCCCTTCCCTGCCAGGGCGCTCTACTGGCCCTGACCCAATGAGTGCCGGTAGAGGCAAAGCACCTCCCCGCTCCCCGCCCCATCCAAATCCTCCCCAAGCTGGGAGGCCGGCTCCGGTATCCTCGGCCCAGAGGGCGCCGAGGTTAGCTGCCCCCAGCCCTCCGGCCCCTCGTCTTCCTCCCAGCTACTCTGCAAAACCTTCTGCTATGACTACTATCCCGGACTCTTTCTTTAAATCTCCTGACACACTACTCCAGCCAGTCCAGACCCCTCTCCCCCGGAGCGCCCCAGCCCCCGCCGCCCCCTCTCCCCTCCCCCGGAAGGGCAGGGTGTGGCCGTCAAGACCTTACTCTCCCCCATTACCCCATTAGCACAGTTCCCTCCTGTGCAGTCGGGACCCCAGCTCACACCCACCTGGTGCTGGGTGGGGGGTTGTTGAAGGTAGGGGAGCAAATCAGTGCGTCCGTCCCCCACGGCCGGCGGCGCTGTCTCTTCCCAGCGCCCAGCACACACCGGCTCCAGTCTCCGATCAGCTGGCGGCGTCGTGACGCACAAGCTGCGATTGCACCGCCCAGGGCCAATCACCGCCCACTGCTGGGCAGCGTGACCACACCCACTCGGGGGCGCCAGCGCTTCGCCCTGGTCCCGCCTCCCCGACCGCCTTAGCTCTGATTGGCAAGGAGACCACCCCTTTGCCTAGCGGAATTGTGCTAAGCCACGCCCACCAACTCGTGATCTGGCCAATAGGTGAAAAGGCGTGGCTCAGTCCTCCGCCTAGGCTACTTGCTTAGAGGAGCGCTACGTCAAAGCCGAGTCCTAAAAAGCAGTAGGAAGTAAAGGCGTGTGTGTTTGCAGTGCATACTGGTCAATGTAGTTCCCGGTCTGAAATCTCGCTCCCAGAATCCAGCGCGCTCTGTGAGTTGGCATTTTTAAACTCATCTCCGAATCCATCCTGGCGAAGTCCTTAAAGGGCTACAGCCCCTCCTTTCTGGAGCCGTGAGTGGTTCTTTTCGACAACTCCAAAACGGATTCGCTGACCTCTGCAGCAGGAGATAGCTCTCTAAGGAAAGGTTGAGCAGGAGAAGCAACAGGAGTGAGCAGACCTGATGGTGGTAATCAGCCCTCAGGGCAGCAGGCTCTTCCTTTGGAATGACTCGTGAGGGCTTTTGTGGGAGGGAGGACTGCGCACCTCGTCTGGTCGCAGCATTCGCTAGAGCGATCTAGTCCACCCGTCCTGGGAGGGCCCTTCCAAAACAGAGGAGACTTTTCTTGTGGAAGATTTCTCAGTCGCAGAGAGAGAGCCGCCCAAGCAGCAGCTTCCTAACGAAAGATTTATAGCACGGTCTTCACCTGAGGGTAGTAGGAACACTTGTGATTAGAGACTAGGGGCTGGGCCGAAGTGCAACTGGTCAGCAACCCCGTCCTCTACCTAATATCCACATTCTGTCCCGCCCTCTAGAAGCTTTTCACTGACTCAGGCCTACTTAGGGAAGAGATTCCAAAAGTGTAGACCAATGAGGAAGCTGCTCTTTCCCCAGAAGCCAATCGGAGGCTAGGGGGGCGGGAAATGGGGAAAAAAACCCGGAAAAGAACCCAATGACTTGGCAAAAGCTGTCGAACCGCTTATTTAAAGGAGCAAGTCTGAGACCCACCCGACCTCTTCACTCCCTCCTCTTCACCACCACCACCAAAGAGGAACGTGTGGACAGGCATCCGTGACTTTTCCATAAGCTTCCAATTGAGGGTGAAGGTAACAGCCTGGAGTGTGAGACAGTTCCTTCCGTATTAAAGACAGCCTCCACCAAGTGATTGCTGTCGTTCTTGGGATCTCCAGAATTCTGAAACTGTGTTCAGAACGTTGTGCCTTTAAGGAAACTTCCTGCCTCCCAACCCAGTAACAGCTGTTTGTCGGAAAGTGTGACCTCAGGGGACGAATCAGCTGTTACCACATCTTCCTCTAGTTCTGCCCTCCTCCATCCCCTTATCCCCATCCCCCACCACCACCACGGGTGGTGAGGGAAGGAAGGAGATGGAACCCTAGATATGGGGGACCTGCTTGTATGTTCTTTCCTCTTCCCTTTCACTTCAAGACTGTTTTCCTCCCTCGCCCCTTCTACACCCCCCCCCCCGCCCCAATCTGCTGGTTAGTTCTTTAGAGGCTCTGAGCAAGGAACGATAAGTATTTCCTTTAGGCACAGTCAGCTCAGACCCACCCTTCTCTGGTCTAGTAAGGAGGCCGGTATTGGGAGGCCCAGAATGGTGGCTGGCAGGCTCCAGGAATGGGTACTTGGGAAGGTCCAGTGAAGCTGAGGACTAAACCTAGAGAAGAGGAATGGCTGTGGAAACAAGCCTCCTCTGGATCAGAACCCAGCTCTCCAGGCCAGCTGCCCCCTATTCCCTACTCAAGTTCCTCCCCAGATGGGTCCTGCTAAGGGGATCCTCCTGGTTTTGCCCGTTACTCCACTTTTAACTGTTCTTAGACACTACCTGGCCCTTAGCTCCATTTTTTACACTCTCACCCCACCAATGCAAGGGTGCTGATGTGGAGCATCCCAGGGGCTGCAGGTGGAGCACAGTGACCCCAGGAACCAGGGGCTTTGGCTGGGAAGTCCTGTAGGAAGACCCAGGTAACTGTTTTGCCCTAGCCCTGAGTTGAGTGTCAGGGTCACTCCAGGACAAACTTAGTGTGAAGTCCCAGGACTGACTTGGCAAGGTTGGGAGAAACTGAGCAGGGTCTTGGCCAAGCTTGGAGGAAAGAAATCTCATCAGCTGCTCGCATTGTCCACTATCCTTAGCATAGAAATCTCATTCCCTTCTTACCCAAGGCCCTTGGGGTAGGCCCTTCCCCATTTTGTTCTAACTTTCCATGCCCCCACCCTCCCACCATATAGGGCAAAAGCATAGGCTTTGAGCCCAGGGTTTCTCAGTCACAGCACTATTAACATGTTGCACTAGCTAAGTTCTTGTGGGAGCTGTCCTGTACATGGTAGCTTGTTTAGTGGCATCGCTGGCCCACTAGATGCCATTAGCAACACCCCCACCCCCTATTATGACAACCCAAATTGTCTCCAGACATTACCAAATGTTCACTGGGGGCCAAAGTTGCTCCCAGTTGAGAACCACTGAGTTAGACAAATTTGGGTTGAAATTCTAGCTCTTAACAGCTGTGAGCTTGATGAAGATACTTAACATCTCTGAACCTCAATTGCCTCATCTACAAAATAGAGTAAATAATAAATTCATGGCTTATTGTAGGGATTTAAAAAAATATATGTTTGAAAACACCTAGCACAGCAACTGGCCCATAGTTGGTGCACTAAACATTAGCTTCCTTAACTTTTCTCCTTGCCAGATCAGCAAGAGCTAACCTCACTCAGCATGGGCTGACCGCTGGAGCTACTGCAGCCTCCCTCCCTGACCATCCAAGCCATGACCTTCAAGAAACTCAATACTGAGGTTGACAAAGGGGAGTGGCTAATTTGGTACCAGATTCCCCAAAGCCCAAGGGTGCCTGTATTGGGATTCAGGGAGCATTTGGAAATAGAGCTGTTACAGAGCATTACATCCCAAGCTGTGACCTGCAGATTGACTGCGTCAGAATTACCTGGTGCTTGTTAAAAATTCAGACTCCAGAGTCTCAATCAGAAATACATCATGAAGTTTGAAAACCACTGTTTTAGGGCTCGGGTTGGGGCAGGTGTCAGTGCCCTAGAAATCTTAGTACACCAGTACACCAGTACCCAGTATTCCCTATTTAAGGGAAGGAAAGAACTGTAACAGGTAAGGTTAGTTACACTCAAGGTCACTGCTGCATTGCAAGCCAAAACCACTAGAGGGCAGGGCACACACAAACTTTCAGAAAAAAAAGTTATGCCTGCTCAACTAGGTAAACTGAGACCAGAACAAAGACCAAGTGGACCCAATTTTTTTGGTACTAATAAGCAGGCACTACTTCCTGACTATCAAAACCATCCTCTCATCTGAGGTACTCATACCAATGTTGGGGATACAAGATTGTCAAGGGACACCTCATTTCCCAGCTGAAAAAACAATAGTGCAAGGCCAAGGAGTACAACGAAAATTGGCTTTAGAATAAGATAGGACTGGATTTGAATCCTGGCTCTACCACTTCTTAGCTGTGTGACCTTGGGCATGTTACCTGGGGTAGTCAGCTCCCTCACCCTAAGATTGTATAAAACTATCTTCTTAAAAAGGGTTGTTTTATTTACATACACACACACACACGTATACATATACATACATACATATATACACACACATATACGTATACATATATAATGTACGTGTATAACTGAATCACTTTGCTGTACACATGAAACTAAATCTACTTGTAAATTGACTACAGTTCAATAAAAAAGAATAAAAAAAAGGATAATTGTCATCGTGAACCTAAAAAAAAGATCTAAACACCTCAATTAAAAAGGAAAAGGGGGTTATAGTGAGGATTAAAGAAATCAAGGTATGCAAAGTGCTTGGTGTGAGGCCTGACTCCTAATGAGTGCTCATAAATGGTGGTTTTAAGTTATGGCTGCCCAAAGTCATGTGACCAAGTACATCAGGGGCTCTGGCTGCCCCATCAAGAAAGAAGATACAGATAGAATCAGATCACCGTTAAGCCATTCCTGTCTCCTCTCTAACTAGGACTTTAGTTTTTCTTAAGTGCCTTTATAGAACTCTCGTATCTCCACACCAAACTCCTAGGTGAAGGAAACTCCTTAGAAGTGGGACTCAAAAAAACAGAGGTAGTGGGTTTGCTGCAGACAATGGCCTATCTTGCAAATGAGTCATAAATGAAACCCCTTGAAGGAATCATGTAATCTTGGTACCAGCTCTCTGGTTTCGGCTCCCTGTCCCATGCTGCCCCCTCCCCCCAGCCACCGTGGCATTTGGTAGGCTCTGACCACAGCAGGCAGGCTCTATGGCACCGCAGAGGCAGATCTTCAACAGGAAATCCTTAGGGGGACATTTCCTCCCAAGAACTCCAGGCCTTTGAGCCTCGGCCACTTCTATCCTCCAGAATTTAAGACAGACAGAAAAAAAAAAAAAAGCCGTAAGATGGCTGTGGGTGGGGAGGACTCCAGGGCACAGAGTCTGTGCACCAGCTTCTAAGTCTTCATTCTGCCACTTGGACAAGCTTCTTTGGAGGCTCTTGGTTTTCACCAGTAAAATATAAACAATAATCATCCTCTCTCCCTCACTGAGTGTTCTGAGGGCCAGATGGAATGTTACTGATGAAATATTTTGGAAAATTTAAAGCTCTTTCTTTTGGAAGGCAGCATGGAGACGGTGAAGGAATTTGATGTCAAAAGTCCCAGCTCTGCTTCGGGTTTCTTATCTGTAAAACCAGAGCGAGGTGGTGGTGGCAGAGGTGATCTGCGATTAAAAGCTTCGATCTCTCGGGAAAGCCTCCCTAGGTCCGCGACGGGGCGCAAGAAGGAGGAAGTAGGGAGGGGAGGGGAAATCTCGTCAGTGGTTCAGCAGCCCCC